ATCATTTCACTCTGAACAGCACCGCCCTGGAGGACGGGAAAGGAAAGTGCCCCTATGACCCTGCCAAGGGGCACACTGGTCTCATCGTGGGTGAGTCATATGTATACACACCGATCAGGCATAACATTATGACCACCTCCTTGTTTCTACACTCATTGTCCATTTTATCAGCTCCACTTACTATATAGGTGCACTTTGTAGTTCTACAGTTACAGACTGTAGTCCATCTGTTTCTCTGCATACTTTGTTAGCCCCCTTTTACCCTGTTCTTCAGGGGTCAGGACCCCCATGGACCCTCACAGAGCAGGTACTATTTGGGTCATGGATCATTCTCAGCACTGCAGTAACACTGAAGTGGTGGTGGTGTGTTAGTGTGTGTTGCACTGGTCTGAGTGGATCAGACACAGCAGTGCTGCTGGAGTTTTTAAACACTGTGTCCATTCATTGTCCACTCTATTAGACACTCCTACCTTGTCAGTCCACCTAGTAGATGTAAAGTCAGAGACGATAGCTCATCTGCTGCTGCACAGTTTGTGTTGGTCATCCTCTAGTCCTTCATCAGTGGTCACAGGATGCTGCCCACAGGACGCTGTTGGCGGGATGTTTTTGGTTGGTGGACTATTCTCAGTCCAGCAGTGACACTGAGGTGTTTAAAAACTCCAGCAGCACTGCTGTGTCTGATCCACTCAGACCAGCGCAACACAAACTAACACACCACCACCACATGTTACTGCAGTGCTGAGAATGATCCACCACCCAAATAGTACCTGCTCTGTGAGGGTCCATGGGGGTCCTGACCACTGAAGAACAGGTTAAAAGGGGGCTAACAAAGTATGCAGAGAAACAGATGGACTACAGTCTGTAACTGTAGAACTACAAAGTGCACCTATATAGTAAGTGGAGCTGATAAAATGGACAATAAATGTAGAAACAAGGAGGTGGTCATAATGTTATGCCGGATCAGTGTATGTGTATATATGTTTTCCATATCCTGCCTGTCTAGCGTCTGGTCATTTGCATGCAGTGTACAGTTCTGTGCAAGTCAGAAACAACCCTTCCAGTCAAAAACGTCTGTTAGGTACAAGCTGTTCATTGTTCAGGAGATGTTTCTGCGGAGATTAGAGAAAATGTTCCTCCTAACAACCACCTGGAAAACCTGCTAGACACCAAAACTGCCCCCATCAGATAAACAGCACTTAAAGCTTTCATCTCTGAGAGAGAGGAGAAAATCAAGCTGCTTCAGATCTGAAAACATCCACAGGTGTTTCTGTCCATCCTTCCACTGTGAGAAGACGACTCAGCGCTGTGGGTCTGAAAGGATGTGTAGCTGTCAAGAAGAACCTCACTGAGAAAAGGAGACGGACACATCGAACAAAGAAACTGAACGATGGACTGACCACCCCAGAGTCTAATATTACTGAATGTGTTTGAGATTATTTGGATCATGAGAAACAGAAACTACAAGCGACTTCTAAGACTGAACTTTGGAGGCGTGTCTGCCGATTTCTTTGAGAAGCTGAAAGTGAGTCTCCTGAAAAGAATGGAAGCTGTGCTCAAATAAAAATTAGATTTTATATTTAGTTGTTGAGCTGCTCGTTTTCTGACACTGAAAAATAATAACTTGTGCTTTTTCAGTGTAATTTGAGTAGAAGTTAAATGGATGAAGGGTGGTCTCTTTTGCACCGTACTGTGTGTGTGTGTGTGTGTGTGTGTGTGTGTGTGTGTGTGTGTGTGTATGTGTACATCCTGTTTCCCCTTTTATTATTTATTTATGTTATCTCATAACACACATGCCTGAGAGGATGTATGAGAGTTCTGTGTAATGTATCATTTATATTGGGGCTCTGTGTGTGTGTGTGTGTGTGTGTGTGTGTGTGTGTGTGTGTGTGTGTTCTAACCTCTCCTCTGGTCTGCAGATAAGGAGTTGTACTCTGCCACCCTGAATAACTTCCTGGGCAACGAGCCGGTCATCCTGCGCAATCTTGGACAGCAGCACTACAGCATGAAGAGCGAATACCTACCAGCCTGGCTCAACGGTACAAACACCCATCCTGAACAAAGCCTTGTATCCCTGTTTGTCAGTGTTTACTTTTTTATGTAGTTCAAAAATACCAGCTGACCTTAACAGGGAGTGCGTTTACATGCACTTAATAATCCGATAACCGCAGAAAATCTGATTTTGTCAGTAATCCGAGCAACGCGTTTACATGCACTTGAGTAATCAGACAATGGGGAAACTCCGGGGCTACATGAGTCAGACAGTAATCGGATTTCTGCTTTACAACCAGCCAGAAAACTCACAGAAGAAGACGTGACGTGAACGTAAACTAAAACTCCAACTTCGTGACGCGGCTTTTTTTAAAAAACATCGCGCCACTTTACCTGAAAATATGAACAAACATCAACTAGAAGATGAAGAATATTTAAATCCCTCATTTCGTCAAGCATGTAGTTGGTTTCAGTGTCACTCCAAAAGTGTTTTGGTACGATCTCGCTTGTTTCCGGTACCGCCGTCTGTTTTCACACATGCACAGACTGAGAAATGCGAAAGAAATCAGAGTAAGAGTTCACATGCACGGAGAAATCTGACTACTGAGCTAAAATCCAGCTCTCTTTATCTAACCTTACCTTACTCCGATCTAAGAATTCTTAGTGTGCTGTTCACATGACCATTTGAGTAATCGGATAACTGTAGAAATCCGATTATGATCGGATTATTGAGTGCATGTAAACACACTCATTGTGTGAACGTTATTATATATTGACATAAATACAAATTACATCAATACAACTACTGCAAAAAGTAGACTGGAAGACAGAACCGTGTTGGAGTAACGTATTATAGTCGTTCATGAGGTCGTGATGTATTTCATGTAGTCCATCTGTTTCTCTGCATACTTTGTTAGCCCCCTTTTACCCTGTTCTTCAGTGGTCAGGACCCCCATGGACCCTCACAGAGCAGGTACTATTTGGGTGGTGGGTCATTCTCAGCACTGCAGTAACACTGCCGTGGTGGTGGTGTGTTAGTGTGTGTTGTGCTGGTCTGAGTGGATCAGACACAGCAGTGCTGCTGGAGTTTTTAAACACCTCAGTGTCACTGCTGGACTGAGAATAGTCCACCAACCAAAAATATCCAGCCAACAGCGTCCTGTGGGCAGCGTCCTGTGACCACTGATGAAGGACTAGAGGATGACCAACACAAACTGTGCAGCAGCAGATGAGCTATCGTCTCTGACTTTACATCTACAAAGTGGACTGACGAGGTAGGAGTGTCTGATAGAGTGGACAGTGAGTGGACACAGTGTTTAAAAACTCCAGCAGCACTGCTGTGTCTGATCCACTCAGACCAGCGCAACACACACTAACACACCACCACCACGTCAGTGTTACTGCAGTGCTGAGAATGATCCACCACCCAAATAGTACCTGCTCTGTGAGGGTCCATGGGGGTCATAATGTATGCCTGATTGGTGTATATACTTGTTTACTGTACAGCATTAAGATCAGACAGACAAATATGAAGCATGGCTATTCGGTTCCTGCACAGAGACGTAGGGTATGAATGTTTGATAGTTAATAGCTGATCTGTGGTACAGTGCGTGTGTAACTCAGCCGTATTGAAAAGTGTTAATGGATTAAACACTGAATCAGATCCTTTGACTGAAGCTCCTGTCTGTGTTTCAGTAATAAACTCAGCCGCTCATTGACTCTCTTACCTTCTGTGGAGCAAACCTGGCTCTGCGCCAAAGAGCTGTTGACAAAGATCAAACTGAACAGCTGTTCAACCGTACAACTAGTACACACACACACACACACACACACACATACACACACACACATACACACACACACACACACACACACACACATACACACACACACACACACACACACACACTCATACACACACACACACATACACACACACACACACTCATACACACACACACTCACAAACACACACACACACACACACATACACACACACACACTCGTACACACACACACACACACACACACACACTCATACACACACACACTCTCACACACACACACACACATTCACACACACACACACATACACACACGCACGCACGCACACACACACACACATACACACACAAACACACACACACACACTCACACACACGCACACACACTCACCCACGCACACACTCTCACACACACACACTCTCATACACACTCACACTCACACACACACACTCACACACACACACACTCTCACACACACACTCATACACACACACACTCACAAACACACACACACACACTCACACACACACACACACACTCACAAACACACACACACACTCACACACACACACTCACACTCATACACACGCTCACAAACACACACACACTCACACTCACACACACACACTCACACACACACACACTCACAAACACCCTCACACACACACACACACACACTCTCACACACACACACACACACTCACACACACTCACACTCATACACACGCTCACAAACACACACACACTCACACACACACACACTCACAAACACCCACACACACTCACACACACACACACTCTCACACACACACTCAGACACACACACACACTCACAAACACACACTCACACACACTCACACACTCACAAACACCCACACACACTCACACACACACTCCCACGCGCTGATGATGGACTGTGATGTCCTTCTGCTGACTGAGTGTGATGGAATTATCTGACGGGTGTTTAGTTCACTCTCTAACTTCTTCCTCTGTTTTCTCTTTCTTCTGCACTTTTTCCTTTTCATTTACTTTTTCTTATTTTTCATTCTGTTTTTCTTGTTTTTCATTCTGTTTTTCTTCTTGTTCTTCTTATTCTCATCCTTCTTCTTCTTCTGCTTCCTTTTACGCTTCTTCCTCTTCTTCTTCTCATCCTTCTTTTTCTTCTTTTCCTTCTTTTTCTTTATCTTTTCCTCCTTCATTATCATTATTCTTCTCCTTCTTTTTCTTCTCATCCTTCTTCTCCCTCTTCTTGCTCTTCTTCTTCCTTCTCCTCTCATACCCTTCCTCTGCTTCTTCTTCCTCTTCTTCTTCTTCTTCTTCTTCATATCCTTTTTTCCTTTTTCTTCTCATCCTTCTTCTTTTTCTTCTCATTCGTCTTCTCCTTCTCTTTCTTCTCATCCTTCTTCTTCTTCTTTGTCTTTTTTTCATCCTTCTTCTTTTTCTCATTCTTCTTTCACTTCTTCCTCTTCTTCTTCTTCACATCCTTCCTCTTCTTCCTTTTCTTTTTCTTCTCCTCCTTCTTCTTTTGCTTCTTCATCTTCTTTGTCTTCTTCTTATCCTTCTTCTGTTTTTTTTCTTCTTTTTGTCTTCTTCTTCTTCTTCTCATCATTCTTTTTTTCTCGTCCTGCGTCGTCGTCTTCTTCTCCTTCTTCTTTCCCTTCTTCCGGTGTCTTATTCTTTCTCTCTTCCTTTCAGAGCCGAACTTCGTGGGCTCTGCGCTGGTGAGGGAGAGCAGGAACAGCCGTGAAGGAGACGATGATAAGATTTACTTCTTCTTCAGTGAGAGAGCCGTGGAGCTGGACTGTGACACAGACCTGACTGTAGCTCGAGTAGCACGAGTGTGCAAGGTGAACACACACTCACACAAGCGCATGTTGGTTTTTATACAGTGGCAGGACATGGAGTTACACATATATGTTAGCATCTGTATGTAATAATAATAAAGTATCATATCTAGCTATCAATAGAACTATGTATAGATATTTGTATATCTGTACATTAGGGGTGTAACGATTCTGAAACTGAGACCATAACCAGAACCATGATACACCGCCACCCCCCCCATCCCTGCCCACCCCAACTAGCTGCTGCCAGCTCTCTTTACGTATATCTATCTGAAGTTAAGTTAATCTGCCAAGTTCTTCAGTGTTCTTCTCTTTTAAAGGTTCAAAATTGTTGGTGATTTAATAAAACCCAGAATTTATTCTCCAATTTTTTTCTTATTCACCCTCCAAAAAAAAAACAAAGCCAATGAGGAGTAAACCAAACCGTGGCTCAACTATCAAGGTCTAAACTGAACCGTGGATTTGGAGAATCGTTACATCCCCACTGTACGTCTATATATGTGTATTAGGATGTATTTAAGTTCAGCCAACATAATGAATAGAGTTAATGACTGAGGTGGTGCAGTTTTTCTCTACAGTACGTTATATTCTCTCACTCTTACTGTAATTTAAACTCCATCAGGGTGATTTGGGGGGCACTCGGACGCTGCAGAAGAAGTGGACCACCTTCCAGAAAGCTCGATTAGTCTGTTCCATCCCGGAGCGCCACATTACCTTCAATAACCTGCGGGCCGTCTTCACTCTGCCTGCTGCTGACTGGAGGAGCACCGTGTTCTACGGGGTTTTCCACGCCCAATGGTATCTACACTCCTCCTCTCTCTTTCCTTCCTCTCTTTCTCTCCGTCTCTCCCCCGTCTTTCTCTTTTCTCTTTCTTTCTCTCCTTTTCTTTCTTCTTTCTCTCTCTCTTGCCTCATTTCTTTCTTCTCTTTCTCTCCCTCAGTTCTCTGTTTTCTTCTGTCTTGGTTTCTTCAGATTTTTCTTTGATCTCTCTTTCTCTCTTTCTCGTCTTTTCTTCTGTCTCCCTCCCTCACTTATCTGTTCTTTTTTCTCTATATCGTTCACTTTTCAGTGTTTTGTCTTACTTTTTTCTCTCTTGCTGTCCTTCTTTTCTCTGTTCCTTCCCTTTCCTTCTCCTCCTCCTTTGCTGCTTGCTTTTCTCTGCATCTCCCTCATTTCTCTCTCTTTCTCCCTCTGTTGTCATTCTTTCTCTCTCTCTCTCTCTATATCTCTCCGTCAGTTCTGTTTTCTTCTTTCTTGCTTTGCTCAGTTTTTCCTTTTATCTCTCTTCCTCTCTTCCCTCCTTTCTCTCTTTTTCACCTTTTCTTCTCTCTCTTTTGTCTGTCTTTTCCGTGTTTTGTCTCTCAGTTTTTTCTCTCTTGTTGTCCTTCATTTCTCTGTTCCTTCCCTTTTCTTTTCCTTTTCCTATGCTTTCTTTTTCCATCTCCCTCACTTCTCTGTTCTTTTGTCTTTTTCCTTCTCTCCTCATTCCTTCTCTCTCTCCTCTCTCTAGCTCTACTCCATGCCTTTTCTCCTGCGTGCCAGTCTCGTTTTTCTTTTCCTGTTCCTACTCTGACTCGTTCTATCTCCGCTCCATCTTTCTCTCTTCCCTTCTTCTATCTCCCCCTTTATTCTGTCCCCCACCCCTCCCTCTCTCTCTCTCCCTTCCCCTCTCTATCTACTCCATGCTCTGTCTTTGTCCCTCTCTTGTCATTATTTCTCTCACTTTCTCCCTCTCGTTGTTCTTTCTCTCTCTTTCTTTTCCCTTTGGCTCTACTTCGTGCCTTTGTTCCTTTCTACCTGTCTCATTTTCCTTTTCCTGGTCCGGCTCTCACTCTTTCTTTCTCCCCTTCTTCTCTCTCCCCCTTTATTCTGCCCTCCCCACCCTCTTTCTCTTTCTTTCTCTCTCTGTCCCCCTCTTTCTCTCTCTCCCTCTATCTTTCTAGCTCGACTCCATGCTCTTTCTTTCTCCCTCTCTCATCATTGTTTCTCTCTCTTTCTCTCTCTTGTCGTTCTTTCTCTCTCTCTCTCTCTCTCTCTCTCTCTCTTTCTCTTTCTTATCTCTTTAGCTCTACTTCATGCCTTTGTTCCTTTCTCGTTTCCTTTTCCTGGTCCTGCTCTCGCTCTTTCTCTCTACTTCTTCTCTCTCCCCCTTTATTCTGCCCCCCCCCCTTCTCTCTCTCTCTCTCTCTCTGGTGCAGTTGTGAAAGTCACTCTGTCCTCAGTATTTATAAGAGTGTGACAGTGCCAAACGCCCAGCCGCGCCCTCCTCCCCACTGTAGGAAATGTTGATGTGTAATTATGATCACAAAGACACTCTCAAACTGTAATTCAGCAGCCTGCAATGGCCCAATCATTCACAGCCCCCCACACGCTGTCCCTCCCTCTCTCTCTCTCTCTCTCTCACTCAGTTCAGTTCAGTTCAGTTCTGTAGTGCTTTGTTGGCATGAGTTACATCATTGTCCGATCAGTAAATAAGAAATATACATACAGTACTGTGCAAAAGTCAGATGCCACCCTTCATATATTTAAAATTCTCTCAAAGCAGCCATTAAAGTACATGCTACTCATTTTCAGGAGATATTTCTGAGTAGATTAGATATAAAATAATTCACTTGCGTAATAAAGGGGAAAGTCGCAGGATAAAAACAGGAGTTTTCAAAACTGGAGTTGAAAAAAATGATTAAAAGCTACAGAGAAAATTGGGCTCCTAACAACCACCTGGAAGACCTGGTAGACACCAAAACTGCCCCCATCAGATAAACAGCACTAAGTTAAGTCAAGTCAAAGTTTATTTATATAGCGCTTTTTAAAACAAATGTTGTCACAAAGCAACTTTACAGAAAAATCCGGCTCTGAGCCCCCATGAGCGTCGCTAAGAGTGACAGTGGCAAGAAAAACTCCCTGAAAGCAAGAGGAAGAAACCTTGAGAGGAACCAAGACTCAAAAAGGGAACCCATCCTCGTCTGATCGACATTGGACCGCAAACAATAACAGCAGAGATTTGACCATCAAAAAAAGGAGAAAAGCAGAAGAAGCAAAGTATATGATCAAAAATGCAGCAGTATCATCAGGATGGTCAGTTCATGCAGGTGAGGTTTGCACAACGTTCAACAGCAGAAGCTCCATGGTGGTCAAACTGGTACAGAAGGCAGACGAGCAGTGGGCACCCGGTCAGGGCAGATGAAGCAACAGCATCAGACCACACAGGATGGGCAGTTATTCAGCACAGCAAACTTAAAGCTTTCATTTTTGAGACAGACTATGGGTTTGAAAGGATATTTAGCTGCCAAGAAGCCCTTATTGAGAAAAGAAATGGACAAAAACACCACCCCAGAGTCCAGACCTCAGCATGACTGAATGTGTTTTGGGACTACTTGGATCATGAGGAACCGAACATCAAACCAACTTCTAAGGCTGAACTTTAGAAGTGTGGAAAAACATCCCTGCAGATTTCTTTGGAAAGCTGAAAGTGAGTCTATTGAAAAGAGTGGAAGCTGTAATGAAAGCAAAGCTCTGGGGCTCCCGAGTGGCACAACTGTCTAAGTGTTGGCCCTATTAGGAGATCGCGAGTTCGATCCCTGGTGATGCTACAGCCGTTCTTGGCCGGGAGTCCAAGAGAGCACAATTGGCCTCGCTCTCTCTGGGTGGATGGCCCTCTCTCTGGGTAGGATGGCCCTCTCTCTCCCCCCATCATTCAGCGCGATGCTAGCCTGCGCAGGCGTCTGTTAGCTGACGCAACAGATCTGGCAGTTGGCGCTTTGTGAATTGGATATGACTAAAATTGGCGAGAAAATTGGGGGAAAAATCCAAAAAAGCAAAGCTGTAGAGGCTACTGTGTAATTTTCAGTGAAATATATCTTCTGCTTTTTTTCCAACTGTAATCTCAGTAAAGAAGGATGTTCTCTGACTTTGACACACACACGCACAAACTTCACACTAATCTTCTCTCTCTCTCTCTTTCTCAGGGGGGACGTGGATGTGTCCGCTGTGTGTCAGTACCAGATAGCGGAGGTGAAGAGTGTGTTCGAGGGCCCATATAAGGAGTACCGAGAGTCATCTCAGAGATGGGGGCGATACACGGGCACCGTGCCCAGCCCCCGTCCCGGAGCGGTGAGAGCACAGCCACAGCCAAACCATGACTCAGCACTTCCAGCCAAAAACACAGCCCACAGCATTAGCGCCTGAAATTCAGACCTTAAAGACGAGCATTTTGTGCAAAACCAAATATTCCTCTTAGAGTTTACTGTAGTAAATAAACATTGTTGAAGTTTCAAAACAGACCATTTACAACCCAGTAGAGTCTATATACACACTAACACAGAGTCCTAACAGCAGCGAGTGTTCAGATCTAGTATTCGAGCATCGCCTTTAAGCGATTTCATACAAAAACCACCTTTCAACTCTGGTTCTCCCTGTCTCCTGTGAGTGTAGCTGCAAAAACAGCCTGTTTTTGAATTTCTCGTGGTTGTGACATCACAACAATGAACACATTTGCATATGACCGCCCATTCAGCTTACAGCAATTTAGTCCATCTAGTCACACTGATGCGATATGTGTCGTTCCCCCAGTCTGTAGCAGAGTTACTGGAGTGGAAGATGTGGGAAAACGATTAAACGTTGTGCTGTTCATGGCTGTCAGGATGCAAACTGATCATTGCAGCCTTCGAAGAGATCCATATGTCTGAAATGAGTGGCAGAAGTTTATTTTTTCCCCAAGTTCCTGAGGATTTTAGTCTGAACTAGACAGGTTGTTCCATTGAATTCAGTCTGGAGGCACAATATATTACAGCCAATCAGAACAGAGTTCATTGATATATATATATATATGGCTGTAATATGTTGTGCCTCCAGACTGGATTCAATGGAGCAACCTGTCTACATATATATATATACATATGTATGTGTATATGTATGTGTGTGTATCAGTCTAAAAGATGGAGGTGGGGAAACGGTCATGTACAGTTGAATTATAACTGTTTACATAAACCCACACAAAACCCTAAGTGGATGTTAAGGAAAAATAAAACAACAAAATATGCTGTATGCTATAGCAATTTAAAGTTAGGAAGACAACAGCTGTTCTTTCAGTCAGAGAGATTAAATGAGCCGGAGAGTTTGTGTACAGTTTTTGTTTTGTTTAGTTTTTTAGCCGATATGCAATGTTCTAAACTAATCTGCTGATATACAATTACGCTCTCAGAAAAGATCTGATTACATAGTGTTCTATTACAGAGTTCAGGACAGAGTGCAACTGGAAAACAAATCTCTCGCTCTCCGGTTTCCTTCATTCTCTGTCTTTTCTCACTCGCTCTCCTTTTTTTTTTCCTCCTCCCTGCAGTGCATCACGAACTTTGACCGTGAGAACGGCTATAACAGCTCGCTGCAGCTGCCCGATGCCACGCTGAACTTCGCGAAGAAACACCCTCTGATGGAGACGAGGGCAGAATCGCGCCCCCTGCTGCTCACTAAGGGAATTAACTTCACCCGGCTGGCGGTGGACCGAGTCAGCGCACTAGACCAGAGAGCCTACAGCATGCTGTTCATTGGAACAGGTACTCAGCTGATCTGATGAAGGAAGGATGATACAGGAATGCATGGATGAATGGATGGAAGGATAGATGTAAGGCTGGATGGAAGTATAGATGGTATGGGAGGCATGGATGCAGAGTTGAATACAGGAATGGGTGGAGCGATGGATGGATGCAGAGTTGAATGGAGGGATGGATGAATGGATGGGTAGAAGGATGGATTGAAGGATTGAGAGTTGGATGGATGATGAACACAAGGATTAATTGATGGGTGTACACGAATATGGATGGATAGCTTAATACAGGCTTGGATAGATGGATGGATGGATGGATGGATAGAAGGATGGATACAGGAATGGATGGATAGATACAGGGATTGAGAGTTGGATGGATGATGAACACAAGAATTAATTGATTTCTGGGTGTACACAAGTATGGATGGATGGCTTAATACAGGCTTGGGTGGATGGATGGATGGGTAGGAGGATGGACACAGGAATGGATGGATAGATACAGGGATTGAGAGTTGGATGGATGATGAATACAAGGATTAATTGATTTCTGGGTGTACACAAGTATGGATGGATGGCTTGATACACAGATGGATGGATGGACACAAGTATGGGTGGATGGGTTGATTGAGAGAGATGGATGGATGAACGGATGGATAATTTGATGAGTACATGGATGAATACAGCGATGGATGAAAGAATAGATGATAGACATATGGAAGCCTGGATAGATAGAGGGTTTGATGCAGTAGTGGATGAAAGGATGAACTGATGTAAGTAAATAAACAGATAAGGGGTGGATGCAGACATGATGGGAAAGGAGGGATGGAGATGGATGGAGAGATGTAAAGGTGAATGGAAGGATGGGTGGAGGCATAGAATGATAGAAGGATGCATGGATGGAGGCATGAATAGATGGAACAGTAGATGCACAGATCGATGTATACAAGGATAGAGGGACAGAAGGAAGGATGAATGGATAGACAGATGGAAGGATGACTGGATTGATAGAGGGATGCACGGATGGATAGAGATCATAGGTATCTGGCAGGATGGATGAATGAACAGAGGGAGGGATAAATGGATGGATAGACAGAGGGATGGCAAGGATGGATGGATAGATGTAAGTGGATGAGGAGATGAGGAGAGGGATTGATACGGTTTTATGGGACAGGAGGAATGGATATGGATAGATAGACAAAGGAATGAAAGGATGGATGGATGCACCGATGTATACAAGAATAGATGAAAGTTCAGATGGAAGGTTGATTGGACAGATAGAGAGAAGAATGGATGAGGCAAGGGAGAAGAAATGGACGGATGAGCGAAGACGGCACGAAAGAATGAATCTTAATGAGCTCCGGTCCTCGTGAGCTGCACTGTTTGGTGTGGATTCAGTTCAGTTTCACTGTGAAGCTGAAGAGACTGACTGGTGGCTCCACGCATGAAGAACCAGAGCTGCAAATTCTGCCTTTTCTCATTCAGTAGTTGTTCGATTGGGTAGGAAAAAAAAACGTCGGCTGAAACCTCGTATTAGAAACCCAATCCTTCTCTAAAATTGGAGGCCTGATTCTGATGCCGTGGCTCTGTTTTCCAGGAAAGGTTGTTGCATATAGAAATTGACACCAGGATGAAAGAGTAATACAAAGAGCGGATGGATCCGTATGGGTGAATTTGTGAGCAGTGTTAGTCAGACAGGGTCATATATTATTTGCGGAACCTGGGCTTATTTCAGTGCTTTCCAATCTGCTCCTACAGAAGGATGGATGTATAGATAGCAAAGGTGGGACTATTTCAATATTTCAATCAGTATTGACATAAAACAGTAGCTTAGCTGTAGTATGGTTACAATGCTTACAGTCCAGTGTACATTATACCCAGATGTTAATTGTGCAATTGTGATATTGATAGAAAAATCAATACATGATCAAGCCAAGCCTCTTTTGGAGGTGTGGCACCACCCCTTGAGTATAGTTAGGCCCAGTCCCATTTCACCCTCGCCCCTACCACTTAGGCCTACTCCCCGTTTTGCGCGTTCACGTCTAGAGGTAGGGTGTCCAGATTTTTGTTGAGATAGAGGGGGAGGGTGAAGTGTTAGGGCTACACAGCCCTCCAAACAGAGGTTTTTCAGAGACTCCAAACAGAGTGATATGAGGAAAAAAAGAAAAACTGGCAAGATGGCTGAGAAAGAGACCAAAAAAACACACAAATGTGAGAATTTTCTCTGTTAAAAAATAACAAAAAACATTGTATTATCTTAGTTTAACATCATTTCAGTGTATTATGATCCTTTTCTTCATAAGAAGCATGAAAATCGTTAGTAGTTTGCTGATGTCTCGGTCGCCACCTAGCTAAATTTGCCATTCCACCTTAAATGGTGCAGCAGTTATGTTTACGAATTACTGCACCATTTAAGGTGGAATGGAAAAGTTTGAACAAGAAGCTGCCAAATATCTGACTTCAGCTTCATATCACTGAAGAATTAGGGGTGGGTGATAATAAATAATTGCCCCCCTCTTTGAAGGCATATGATGCCCTGAATGTAACTAAAGCCCAGCAGTGAGGAGCTGAACTTTACCCTCCTCTGCTGTCACTGCAGACTGGCAGGGTCGCCTACAGAGCAGCGCTGGTAGCTGTTAATGAAGTAATGCTCTTTTTATTTGAGGGTCCCATTTCATAGGGAAGATTTCAACCACTACCCCTTTAACTCAGTTCCAAGGGGCAAGGAGACACTCGAAAACAAGGGGTAGAGGTAAAAATAAGAAATGGGATTGGGCCTTAGTGTCTGTCATATTATTTGTTTGTTTATCCTTTTACTACTACTACATTAGTTCTAGTTTCCGCTAGCTACTCTATGGGATTTGCGCCAAGCCAGCGATGGCGAACATGGGTTTAAAGCCACCTGTGGCAGCCCTAGCTTAAACATCGACATTTGACGTTTTTGGTAAACATTAGATTGATATGTTATTTACTTTCTGTGCTGCTGGTTCCCAGTGAACCCAGGGAATATTCAACGAAACTCAGAATGTTATTGGAGGGGTCTGCATTAAAAATTAGTTTTCAATTCAGTGTAAAAAATTACTTCATGGGGTAACAAGTGATTAAACTAGTTTTTTTCAACTTAATAATTTGAATGACACCAATCCTTTAATAAAAGTATTTATTTGATTTGCGTAAACTGTTTAATTTCCCTGTTACTACATGGAGAAATTTTTTACGTTACCATTTTTTTACAGTGTATCAGCCTGTTAGCTGCTGAGCTGGTTAGTCTAGATGAGGGGTCAGCAACACGTGGCTGTTTTACTGCCCTGTTGTGGCTCCACAGCAGAATTAGATTTGTAGGTAAAAATAAAATAATCCTCCTTTGCAGTAAAATAAAGCTCTGCTGATCGTTCAACACAGTTTAACAGTAAATGGTCTTAAACTCTGGAGTTAATGTAGAACTGCTAATTCACCCTTTAACCCTGAAGATCAGCACAGACTGCTGGTCACCATAGCAACACAGACAACAGTCTCGCCCAGCTAGTAGCTAACGAAACGGCAAAGAGAGAGATCTAAGACGGACATTGATAATTTGAAGATGATCAGGCTTATTTACATTTATAATCACTCCAGCTGGTTTCCTGATACGTTTAACCTGCAACGAGAAACTGACAAACACTGAAAAGTCACAAGGCTCAAGTCGCTTCTCATTCACCAGCTTCTCATTCGAATTTTCCCCTTCTACCTTAAATGTTGTGGCGGTTACATTCTGGCGCCTCAGGCACCATTTAAGGTGGAACGGGAAGATTCAAACAAGAAGCTGGCGAATAAGAAGGGACTTCAGCCTCGTAAAAAAATAAAGCGTTGAGACATTTTACAAGAAGCTATTTTACTTTTACGGAAAAGTTTCCTGCCAGAGATGCGAGAAAAGCAGCTATAGCTGAGCTAAAGCTTAAAGCAGAGCAAAGTAAGTCTGTGTTTTCGTTTATATTACATTTTTAGCCTGTACTATTATATCAGCACATACTGAGACATATTTACAGCCAAGATGGTAAAATGGACATAATATGTCGTGACTCCCAAGATGGTTTGATTTTTGTTGAAAGGACAAAATGGCTCTTAACATTTGGGTTGCCGACCCCTGGGCTAGACTGAGTCCAAAAATCGACTTTGTTGCATCGCGTATGTTCAGTATGTTTTCAGGCCATTTACTCTCAATTTGTGAGTGCAAACATATGTGCATTAGTGAGATCCTGCTGGTGTGGGTTCCTGCCAGTTTCCTCTCTTTCAATAATGTAATTTGAATGCTAATAGCTCCCATGTGAGGTGAATCTAAAGCCTGCTGTTCAGGATAACCCTGATTAATCACAGGCGATTCGTCGAGAAGGTAAATTTGTATCAATTTGTAAATCAAGTTTGAGTAATCGTAACAGCCCTTAGGGAATAACTAAAAGGTGGACCACAGGGTTAGTTGAGGTCTAGGGCTGAAAAACACAGGCTTTCTTGATTTCATCTGCTTCTAACTCACATCTTTCTGTATTAGCCCCTTTGTCCTTCCTGGCTTTTCTCCTAAAAGCTAAACAGGTTGGATGGGTGAAAGCAGGCGCTTTATTAAAGCTAATGCTGCGTCTGATTTAGGAGTCTAGAAAATCACTTCTGCCAATTGATTTTGGGGGGAAGGACAGTCGTTTAACTAAAAGCGCTAAAGATGTGTTTGTCCTTGGTCACCTTTCAATCACACACATGCACACACACACACACGCACACGCATCAGGGCCAGCTCTGCTCCATGCCTGACCACAGTTTTGGCTTCAGTCATGTGTGCACACAGACACTCATGCTATAACCTGCCAGGGCCGCCGATGCCTGACTGTGAATAAAGCCTTTTCACTTTAGCATTCAGCGCAGTTTGACTAGCTCAGTGTGGCTGCTGTCACAGCATGACTGATATTGAGTCCCTGGCACACTCTAGGTCTCTCTCTCTGTCTCTCTCTCTCTCTCTCTCTCTCTCGCTCTCTCTCTTTCTCTGTCTCGCTCTCTCACTTTTTGCACTTTTGACATTGAGTCTGACACACTCTACCTCCCTCTCTCTCTCTCTCCCCTCTATCTGTCTCGCTTTCTTTCATTAAGTCCGACACACTCTTCACTTCCTTTCATTTTTTTCCTTCTCTCTCTCTTTCTCTCCTACCTGTCTCTCCCTCTCCACTGACACTGTTTGAACCTCCTTTTTCTTTTTCCTTTCTTTCTTTCTTTCTTTCTTTCTTTCTTTCTTTCATTAAGTCTGACGCACTTCCTTTGTTTTTCTCCCCTTCCATCTCCCTCTCTCTCTCTCTCTCTCCGCTTGACATTGAGTCTGACACACTACCTCTTTTTCACCCTTTCTCTATCTATCTGTCTATCTGTCCTTCTTTCTTTAGGTCTGACACTCTTCAACATCCTCTCTCTCCTCTCTCTTTCTTCTTTGCCTCTTTATTTTTCTCCTCTCTTTCTCTCTCTCTCTCTCTCTCTCACTCACTTTCTCCACTGACATTGAGTCTGACACACTCTACCTCCCTCCCTTACTCTCTTCCCTCCATTCGTCTTGCTTTCTTTCATTAAGTCCGACACACTCTTCACTTCCTTTCATTTTTCCCCTTCTCTTTCTTGTTCTCTCCTATCTGTTTCTCTCTCTCTCTCTCTCTCCACTGACATGGGGCTTGAAACTTTTTTTTTTCTTCTTTCTCTTTCTTTCATTAAGTCTGACACACTTCTTGTTTTTTTCCCCTTATCTCTCTCTCTCTCTCTCTCTCTCTCCCTCTCTCTCCCTCTCTCTCTCTCTCTCTATCTATCTATCTATCTGTCCATCTTTCATTAAGTCTGACACACTTCTTGTTTTTTTCCCCTTATCTCTCTCTCTCTCTCTCCCTCTCTCTCTCTCTCTCTATCTATCTATCTATCTGTCCATCTTTCATTAGGTCTGACACACTCTTTAATGTCCTCTCTCTCCTCTCTCTTTTTCCTCTCTCTTTCTCTCCTCTGTCTCGCTCTCTCACTTTCTCCACTGACATTGAGTCTGACACACTCTACCTCTCTCTCTCTCCCCTCTATCTGTCTTGCTTTCTTCCATTAAGTCCGACACACTCTTCACTTCCTTCCATTTTTTCCCTTCTCTTTCTCATTCTACCTCTCTGTCCACTGACACTCCTTTTTTCTTTCTCCTTTCTCTCTTTCATTAAGTCTGAGTCACTTCTTGTTTTTCTCCCCTTCCCTTTCTCCCTCTTTCTTTCTCTCTCTCTCTCAACAGTAAGTCTGACACACTACCTCTTCTTCTCTCTATCTATCTATCTATCTATCTATCTATCTATCTATCTATCTATCTATCTGCCAATCTATTCTTCTTTCATAGGTCTGACACACTCTTTAACATCCTCTCTCTCTCCTCTCTTTTGCCTCTTTCTTCCTCTCCTCTCTTGTTCTCTCACTCTCTCCCTACTGACACTGAGTCTGACACACTACTCCTCCTCTTTTTCTCTCCTCTCTTTCTCTCTTTCTCTCTCTCGCTTTCTTGACTGACATTGGGTCTCTGACGCACTTTCTTTTTGTTTCTTGTTTCTCATTCTCCGTCTCTCTCTCTCTCTCTCTCGCTCTCACTCTCTTCTTGACTGCTGTGCTTTAGAGCGCAGATTTCATACAGCCCTGCCAACGGACACATACACGTACAGCCTGCCAGTTGGACTGGAAGGTTGATTAGCCATTAAGTGAGGAGAGCAGCAGAAGCACAGAGCCACCGTCCAGTGTGTGTGTGCATGTGTGTGCGTGTGTGCGTGGGTATGCGTGTGTGTGTGTGTGTGTGTGTCCATGTTTGTTAGATTCGCTTTTATTTGTCAGTACAGCTCAGGAAGTGAAGTTTGTCTTGGTTCATACAAAGTTGCCTTATACAAAAACACAGCACAGCCTGAAACTCACACGAATATACAAACAAATAGTGTATGGATTTATGTGTGTTTGTGTTTGTGCTTGTTTTTCTACATTTATAGGGAAAATGTTCTGGCTTTGTAGAAACAGAACCTAAAGAACCAGCAAAATACCCCTGACTTTATAGTAAAACCAGTGATAGCAGTTCTTGATGACGTTATGACATACTTTTTACAATATATAATATAAAAGACATTATTATTATTGTTACTATTATTATAATATAGGTACTTTTGTAGCTATAATACATATAGGACTTTGTATAAAATACAGGTATGAGCATGTGTGTGTGTGTGTGTGTGTGTGTGTGTGCGTGCGTGTGTGTGTGTGTGTGTGTGTGTGTGTGTTTTGAATTTGGAGTTCAGGACCTCTTGCCTTCTTCACCCACTCCCTCTGTCTCTCTCTCTCTCTCTTTGTCTATCCCTCTTTCACTCCTCTAGTCTGTTATCCCTCTCTTCCACAGCCCCTCTGTCTGTGCTGAAGTGAGAAGGGTCAGTGTAACATTATCTGTGACAAACTGTGTGTTAGGGGCCATGGTGTACACACACACACACACACACACACACACACACACACACACACACACACACAGGTCAAATCCCCCAAATCTCTTCCCTACACACACACACACACACACACACACACACACACACACACACACATATGTGTGCGTTTGTTGTCAGTACAGCTGGGTCTGATTCAATTGTGCTGGAGATAATGTGTGTAACCTTGTACTCAGTGACATCTACAGCCGACACTGATGTTCCACTAATGGACCTTCTGTCCTCTTCTATCTCTCTCTCTCTCTCTCTCTCCTTTCTTTCCCTCTCTTCTCTTCTCTTCTTTGCTGTTCTCTTTCTTACCTTATCTCCTATTCCCTTCTTCTTCTCTTTCCTTCCCTTCTCTTTTTTGTCCTTTATCTCCTATTTCCTTTTCTTCTCTACTCCTTTAATGCTCTTCTGTTATTCTTCTCCCCACTCTTTTTCCTCTTCTCTTCTCTTCTCTTCTCTTCTCTTCTCTTCTCTTCTTTCATCCCTCCTCTCCTAATCCTTCTTCTCTTCTCTTCTCTTCTTTCATCTCTCCTCTCCTAATCCTTCTTCTCTTCTCTTCTCTTCTTTCATCAATCCTCTCCTAATCCTTTTTTCTCTTCTCTTCTCTTCTCTTCTCTTCTTTCATCAATCCTCTCCTAATCCTTTTTTCTCTTCTCTTTTTTTCTCTTCTCTTCTCTCCTCTTCTCTTCTCTTCTCTTCTCCTCTCTTCTTCTAATTTTCTTGTTTTTCTCTCCACTCTTTTCTTCCTCTCATCTCTTCTTTTCTCTTCTATCCTTTCATTTTTTTCTGCTCTTCGTCTCGCCGCTCCTTTTCTTCTTTTCTTCTCTGACTCCATCTCTCCACTACTCTCTTTATAATCTCTTATCACTCTGTGTCTGTTGTTTATCCTGTAGCGGATGGCTGGCTGCAGCGAGTGGTCATCCTGGGGTCAGAAGCTCACGTGATCGAGGAGATCCAGCTGTTTGATTCGCCGCAGCCGGTGGACAGCCTGACCATTTCACACAGCAAGGTAACACCAGCCGGGTTTCCGTCCAGCTGCTGAATTAAATTCAAGAGAATAACTGAAATAATTGAGCTTAACTCAGTATGGAGTATAACTTCCCAGTATGGAGTTCCCATCAGCTCAGTACAGGTGAAGACAGAGTACTCAGTACAACAGAGCAGAGCAGAGAAACTGATTTATTTCATTTTATGGCTGTATTTTACATTGTAAAAGTGCCGAGACAGAACACAGTGGCAAATATAATGGCTCAGGGTCTGCAGCAGACATCTTCTGTTACCTACTGATACCACTGTTTTTTCTTTGAGAAGATAAAGTTATGTTTACGTTCTGCATTAGTAAATTGGTGCTTGGTGTCATATTTCATTTTTTATTTGCCTTTACTTTAGTTACCAGCAAATGCGTTTATCTTTATTAAAATTGATTAAAGTATTAAAATTTAGCAAAATTTCTGTTTATGTGAAGTTTGGTCATCTTATTTTATTTTCTAATTTCCTTAAAGTCTTAAGTCAAAATAGGCCTAAAAAATACCTTGATGGAAATCTAGCTACTGACCATGGAGAGAAAAAATGGTTATTGGCCAATTAGCCACAAAGGAGTAGTATTTTCCTGCAGCCGAACACCACCAATCCAGTCAGCCTCATAGCTGCAATGCAGCGACACCCAAGTGGCCAGCCTGCGAGGCCTCGTAGCTGCGGTGTAGCGTCGCTTAGGCAGCTGAACCCTCCAGTCCAGGCAGCCCCACAGCTGAAGTGCACCGTCAAACAAGCAGCCAGCCCAGGCTGCGATATCACGCCAATCAGGTCCCCAGTCCAGGCAGCCTCGTAGCTACGATACAGCGTCTCTCAAGCCGCCGGTCCAAGCCGCATCATAGCTGTGATGTAGCGTCACCCAAACAGCCAGCCCAAAAAGCCTCTGAGCCATAGGTGGAAAATCGCTCTCGGCCACTGTCTCAGTGGATATGATGGCAAACTCCTCAGCCAGCAGGGAAACATCAAAACATGCACACAAACAATACAGAACAAACGAAAAACGACGGAGCGCACGCACATTTTTAATGTATTACAAGGCATCAGGATCACGATATGTAGCAAAATAATCACAGTACTAGTATATTGTCCATATCATGCAGGTACACACACACACACACACACACACACACACACACACACACACACACACACACACAGTCACATTCCGGCACCTTCACACACACATGCAGCTTTAATGTCTCTTTCTTCCTGATCCTTATCTAATCTCATCACTCGGCTGTGTTGGCCCACCGTTGCTAACCGGCTTTGCTAAAAGTGGAACCGAGCAAAGGAAAAGCAGATTGTATTTAGAGCTGAAAATGATTATCCTATTATTTCTTCTTCTGAACATTATTTCTCTCTCTCTCTCTCTCTCCCTCATTCTCTCTGTCTCTCTCTCTCTCATTCTCTGTCTCTCTCTGTCTTCCACTATCAAATTCTCTCTCCTTTCTTATTTTTATTCTCTTTCTATTCTCTCCCCATTCACTTTCACTCACCTCTCTCGTTCTTTCTTCCATCCTTTCTCTCTCTCACTTTTCTCTCTCTCTCTCTTTCCCTCTCACTCTCTTTAATTTCTCTCTCATACTCTTCTCTCTCACTCTCTTTTCTCTCTCTCTTCCTCTCTCTCTCTCTCTCTCTCTCTCTCTCTCTCTCTTTCCCTCTCACTCTCTTTAATTTCTCTCTATCTCACTCTTCTCTCTCTCTCTCTCTCTCTCTCTCTCTCTCTCTCTCTCTCTCTCTGTAGAAGTATTTATATATAGGCTCTCGGTCAGAGGTTCTGCAGTTGCCCTTGGCTAACTGTAGTCGGTATCAGTCCCAGCCAGACTGCCTGCTGTCCAGAGATCCGTACTGCGCCTGGGACAGCGAGGGACGCGCCTGCGTACGGATCGACCTCCACCGCGGGTACGAACACACACACACACACACACACACACATACACACACACACACACACACACACACACACACACACACCCTTCTCTCTGAATCACTCACACCATCGTCCTCTGCCCCATACAACACACTCTGTACTGTAGATATACTCTTCTCTTCTCTTCTCTTCTCTTCTCTTCTCTTCTCCACTGCACTCTTCTCTTCTCCTCTCTTCTCTTCTCCACTGCTCTCTTCTCTTCTTCTCCCTTCTCTTCTCTTCTCCACTGCTCTCTTCTCTTCTCTTCTCTTCTTCACTGCTCTCTTCCCTTCTCTTCTCTTCTCTTCTCTCTTCTTTTCTCCTCTCTTCTCTTCTCTTCTCCACTGCTCTCTTCTCCTCTCTTCTCTTCTCTTCTCCACTGCTCTCTTCTCTTCTTGTCTCTTCTCTTCTTTTCTCTTCTCTTCTCCACTGCTCTCTTCTCCTCTCTTCTCTTCTCTTCTCCACTGCTCTCTTCTCCTCTCTTCTCTTCTCTTCTCTTCACCACTGCTCTCTTCTCTTCTCTTCTCCACTGCTCTCTTCTCTTCTTGTCTCTTCTCTTCTTGTCTCTTCTCGTCTCTTCTCCACTGCTCTCTTCTCCTCTCTTCTCTTCTCTTCACCACTGCTCTCTTCTCTTCTCTCCTCTTCTCTTCTCTTCTTGTCTCTTCTTTTCTCTTCTTGTCTCTTCTCTTCTCTTCTCCACTGCTCTCTTCTCTTCTCCTCTCTTCTCCTCTCTTCTCTTCTCTTCTCTTCTCTTCTCCACTGCTCTCTTCTCTTCTTTTCTCTTCTCTTCTTTTCTCTTCTTGTCTCTTCTCTTCTTGTCTCTTCTCTTCTCTTCTCCACTGCTCTCTTCTCTTCTCCTCTCTTCACCTCTCTTCTCTTTTCTTCTCTTCTCCACTGCTCTCTTCTCTTCTTGTCTCTTCTTTTCTCTTCTTGTCTCTTCTCTTCTTGTCTCTTCTCTTCTCCACTGCTCTCTTGTCTTCACTTCTCTTCTTCACTGCTCTCTTCCCTTCTCTTCTCTTCTCTTCTCTCTTCTTTTCTCCTCTCTTCTCTTCTCTTCTCCACTGCTCTCTTCTCCTCTCTTCTCTTCTCTTCTCCACTGCTCTCTTCTCTTCTTGTCTCTTCTCTTCTTTTCTCTTCTCTTCTCCACTGCTCTCTTCTCCTCTCTTCTCTTCTCTTCTCCACTGCTCTCTTCTCCTCTCTTCTCTTCTCTTCTCTTCACCACTGCTCTCTTCTCTTCTCTTCTCCACTGCTCTCTTCTCTTCTTGTCTCTTCTCTTCTTGTCTCTTCTTTTCTCTTCTTGTCTCTTCTCTTCTCTTCTCCACTGCTCTCTTCTCTTCTCCTCTCTTCTCCTCTCTTCTCTTCTCTTCTCTTCTCTTCTCTTCTCTTCTCTTCTCCACTGCTCTCTTCTCTTCTTTTCTCTTCTCTTCTTTTCTCTTCTTGTCTCTTCTCTTCTTGTCTCTTCTCTTCTCTTCTCCACTGCTCTCTTCTCTTCTCCTCTCTTCACCTCTCTTCTCTTCTCTTCTCTTCTCCACTGCTCTCTTCTCTTCTTGTCTCTTCTTTTCTCTTCTTGTCTCTTCTCTTCTTGTCTCTTCTCTTCTCTTCTCCACTGCTCTCTTGTCTTCACTTCTCTTCTCTTTTCTCTTCTCCTATTTTGACATTTATAAATCTCAAACAAAGAGAGCTACTCTGTGCTCCTTATATCTCTGTGAAGTCCTCACTACTCTGTGCTTCTTATTTTTGCTTCGGCTTTTGTCTTTTTTTCTGTCCTCCTTAACTTTTCTTATCTCTTATCTTTTCTCTTCTAATCTCTTTTAATCTCTTCTCTGTCTTCTCTGCGCCTTTTCTAATGTTCACTACTCATATCTATTTTACAAACTTCTTCTCTTTTCTTTTTTCCTTTCTCTACTTTCCTCTGTTCCCTTCTGTTCTGTTCTCTTCTTGTCTCGCATTTTTTCTTGTTTCTTTTCTCATCTTTTGCCTCTCTTCTCTTCTCTTCTCTCCCCCATCGCTCCTCTTCTCCGTATGGTTTGACTGCAGTGCTCATCAGTGTGTTGTGGATATATCTCTGATCAGTGTCTGTATCTCTCCTGCAGGTCCATGTCCACACTCACTCAGGACCTCATGCTGGAGAGGTTTAAAGCCAAAGCCAAGTTTGAAAAGCCAGTCTCCATCCCCAGCCCTGGTGAGCTCCTACTGCCCCCTGGTGGCTGAACTGTAACTGAATCTATGAATGCCACTACAGTGCAGAGGATTCTTAATGTGTTTTTGAGAATATAAGCATAAAACATTACACTGCAGTTAAAATGTGTGTCATAAGGGTTGCATGACTATTCATTTTCACTAGATAGCTGATTCATAAACATAGCCTACAAGTAAACTAGCCATAATTTACAATTCAAAGGAAAAATAAAGTGAGCTACAGGTATCAATAGTAGCCTACATTTACATGCTGCTGGAAAAAAGTGTGTTAAAATCACACTTTATCTTCTTAATGTATAAGACACACACTCTACTGTTCAGTAGAACACGTCTCATGACAACTGAGTGACGTCTTGCTAACAGCAGCCAGCAGTGGAGGCTTCGTTTTGGGGTCGTTATGCATAACAGAGGAATTCTTGTTGGATTTCAGCCGTAGTCGTACAGAACTCGCAGTTGTCATTTAACAAGCTTCAGGATATTGTTGGCTTTGTTTTTTACTGAAAAACTGCCTTCAGTCCCTTTTCCTGCATTGATTTCTGCTTCTATCGCCATCATATTTCACTACTGAACTCGGGAACTGTCCCTCACCAGCTGACAGCAGCCCACAGCGCCAACCAGTAGATATATAAGTCTAGTAAACAGCTGTTTTTAATAATATAAAACCGTTTTGTTGCAGGTATAAAGTACTGCTTCTGCTCTTTAACTACACTGTAAAAAATGGCTCATCAGGTCAACCTGTAAAAATTGTGGTACCAGCCGTTTTCTGACGTCCATGGTGTCCGCTGTCTGGTCTGGCAGCAGGTCTGGGGAGAGAGGCTACTTTCATTTTCTGCTAGGGCCTGACCCTAGACCGGGTCGTAACAGAATTCGGGGCTCGTCTGGGATCTGCAAGCAGGACGTGCTCTTGGACAAAGTTCTGAAACACAGAATTCCTTAATAAGTTATTCTAACAAATCTGATTCAATTGCTGTAACAAAAGGAGGGCAATAAAACCACCGAAGATCAAATATCAAGTTTCAAAAGAGAAAAATTCGAATGATCCAAAACTACTTACATTCACACCTCCCCCAACAAAAGAAAACTGCCAGCAAACGAACAAATACTCACCGGACAAAATCAAGAAATGAAAAAGCCCACTCTCATTGTCTGTTACGGCCTGACCCCAGACCGGGTCGTAACAGAGCTGGGGGCTTGATTTTGTCTGGTGAGTATTTGTTTTGGTTGTTTGCTGGCAGTTTTCTTTTGTTGGGTAAGAAGTACATTAACTAGTTTTATTCAACCTGAAGTTATTTGTTACTACATAAAGGGATTTTTTAGGCTGATCTGATGAGCCACTTTTTGCAGTGCAAGTAAACATAAAGAGAGTTTAGTCCGAGTGATTTTGGAGCATTTCTGTTGGTCTGTTCATCATGAAATGTTCACATAAGGTAAAGGACAGTTCAAATCATGCCGAAACATAACAATTGGAAACAAAACAAAAATGGACATGTATTTTCTTTTGGACAGTGACAATATCTCAAACTAAAATTGGACAATATGTCAAACTAAAATTGGACAATATCTCAAACTAAAATCGGACAATATCTCAAACTAAAATCGGACAATATCTCAAACTAAAATCGGACAATTGGACAATTAAAATGACCCTAGACAGAATGAAAGAGTGAAATAAAGAGACTGAGAAGAAAGAGAGAGAGAGAGAGAGAGAGGAAAAAGAGAAATAAGGAAGAGTAAAAAGATAGATGATAGGTGAAAATAAGGGTAGTGAGATAGAGAGAGGAGCGAGAGAGATTGAGAGAAAGAAGAGAGAGAAGAAAAAGCGAGAGAGGAAAAAAAGGGAGAGAAAAAAGAAAGATCATAGACGGGGAAGAGAGAGAATGAAAGTGTGAAATAAAGAGACAGAAGAGAAAGAATGAGAGAAAAAACAGAAAAACTATGATGGAAAGATAAAATGAGAAAATGAGAGAGAGAGAGAGAATACAGAGAGACGAAGAGAGAGAGAGAGGAGGGAGAGAGAAAGAATAAAAGAGAGAGATGAGAGAGGGAGAGGGGGAAAGAGAAAGGGAAAATGGAAAGAGAGAGAGAAAGAACAGAAAGAGTGACATAAGCAGATGGGGGAGAGAGAGAGAGAAAGAGGGTAAGAGACAAAGACGAAAAACAGAAAGAGAAAATAGGGAGAGTGAGGGGACAGAGCCTGAAATAAAGAGACGGAAGAGAGAGAGAGTAAGAGAGGATGGATAGAGCATGAAATGAAAAGAATAGAGGCGTTGATCAGTCTTCACTGATTGGTAGAAAACAAATCATTGAAAGTCTGAAAAACATTACGGTTACGATCTGAATCGCGTCCCGTCTCCTGTTCCAGAGCATTCCAGGCTGAGGAACGTCACCGTGGTTGTGGGTTCGGATCTGGTCCTGCCCTGCCAGCTCGTGTCTAACCTGGCTCAGCCGTCCTGGGTGCTGAATGACCGGGAGCTGACCCTGTCTCCCGATAAGGACACCGTGGGGCCCCGCTTTGACCGGGCCCTCCGCGCCCTGGTGGTGCCTCAGGCCGGAGCTCAGCAGGCCGGCCGCTACGTCTGCTTCTCCGAGGAGCAGGGGGTGAAGTTCCAGACTGAGCGCTACCAGGTGAGCTTTGATGATGGAATTTTCTGACAGATGTTTCTTTTTCTTTTCATTTCATGCTCTTTCTATCCTCTCTTACTTTTTCTCTCTCTCTCTCTCTCTCTCATTTTCTCGTTTTATCTTTCCATCATAGTTTTTCTGTCTTTTCTCTCATTCTTTCTCTTCTCTGTCTCTTTATTTTGCTCTTTCATTCTCTTTCTCCCCCCCTTATTTTAACTATCATCTATCTTTTTCTCTCCCTTTTTTCCTCTCTCTTTTTCTTCTCTCTCCCTCTCTCTCTTCTTTTCTTCTTTTCCTCTCCCTCTCAATCTCTCTCGCTCCTCTCTCTCTCACTCCCCCTTATTTTCATCATCTTTTTTCTCTTCCTTTATTTCTTTTTCCACTCTCTCTCTCTCTTTCTTCTCAGTCTCTTTATTTCACTTTTTCATTCTGTCTCTCCCCCCTTATTTTCACTATCATCTTTTTTGCCCGCCCTCCTCACTCCCTCTCTCTATCTCTCTATCTCTCTATCTCTCTCTCTCCCTCCCTTTCTCTCTCTCTCTCTCTCTCTCTCTCTCTCTCTCTCCCTCTTTAGCACTACTTTATTGAATATTACTGTAATTGTAGCTATAATTGATTCTAACATTCCAAAATCACTGCAGCTTCTGATCGATGATCTGATTCACTCACGTTATTCCGAACGTCTTCCTCTCAGGTGGCGGTGGTGGCCAGCGCTCCGGTCTTCATGGAGGTTCGCGCTCCGGACGCCAGCATGGGGCTCTTCTGGGTTTTGGTGATCACTCTGGGCGCGGCCTGCCTGCTGCTGCTCATCATCTCCCTCTACCTGCGGAGGAGGCTGAAGCTGGCTCTGGGGAAAGGAGCCGAGATGAAGCCCCTGGAGAGCACGCTGGTGTACCCCATCACGCTGCCCAAGGAGCCGCCCACTTTCGTGCCCAGCAAGATGGCCAACGACGAGGACCGCTTCTGGGAGACCGGCGCCAATTACTATTACTCCGACGGATCTTTAAAAATCGTGCCAGGCCATGCCATGTGCCCGACCGCCAGCACGTCCTCACCCAGCGCCATCCCGGGCCAGCCTCTGCACTCCCCCAGCCGGCTGAGCCTCACCAACATCCGCAGCTCGACCTCCAACGGCTACGTCCGGCTCAACTTGAGCGTGGGAGGGGAGGAGAGGGGCAGAGGAACCGGAGGGATGGCCGGAGGAGGGGGTTTGGGAGTGAACGGCCGAGAGAACGAATATTCCAGCCCGTTTAAGGAGGAACTGAGGAGGACCCTGCAGCAGAGGAGCGTGCTGCCCGACGCTAATCCCGAAGAGTCGAGCGTGTAAAGGTCGCAAATTGACCCCAAAATAACCTCACCTACCTCCCTCCTTCACGGAGAAACATCCTCTCCTTCTCTATCTTCTCTTTTTCCTCTCTCTTTCGCCATTCGACCCATTCTCTCTCTCTGCAGACGCTCCGCTAAAGCTGTGTGCTTTATTTTTTCGTCTTTTTCAACGCTAGTTTGTTTTTTTGCTAACAGCTAACAGCCACAAGCTTCTTCAAACTTAGCGACTTTAATTCTAGCATTCAGTGCATCTTAACAAAGCTGTTTTTTTACACGTTTTAAACGACATGACGGCAGGTCCGCACCCGAAGCGGGCCGCTAACTAACACAGGTACAGCTTAGCGACTGGATAACGGACCCCGACGTAGCTGCCAGTCAAGACTGCGTATGTAGCGGCGCCGCTAGCCGGCAGGTGGAAGAATACGCACTCGTTTGTCGACGTGGAACACGGCTTTCTGGGTTTATTTCACTCTTTCGCGAGCGGAGACGGAGAAAGGTGGGGCGAAGAAATCGGACAAATCAGAACTTTTTTGCGCTAGACGACAATCATGCTTTTCTCTTGGGCAGCAAACCCGAGGAGGAGAAAGTGTGAAAAACAGAAGAGAGGGGAACAAAAACAACGAAGGGAGCTGTAAACGAAAGAAAGAACAAACTGATACTAACGCAAGAGAAACAATCAGACTTTCTACACAGCTCGGTTTAAGATTTTTTTTTTTTTCTTGTTGTCTTTTTTCTTGCAGAATGTCTTGAGACTCAAAGCACTAATATATTGTGATGTTTGTAATTTAAAGACTTTTAAAGACTCTTCTTTTCTGTAATATTCAGACTGATGAGGACGGAAATGATGACGCCTGTTGGCTTTGAGTTGGAATGTGAAAAGAGATCGGCTCTGTCCCCAAACCAAACCTTTATTTCACACCCACTGTGTGTGGAATAGCTTGGGGGGGGGGGCATAAACCGTATATCATGACTGTACTGGATGTTTCTACAAGTGCATTATTGTGTGCATTTGGCTGGGGATACGAGGACAAAATGCCAAGTGAAACGAACCCATAGGCGGAGAAATCTGTGGGTGTTGGAACTTTCTAGAATGCACACTGCCTGCTAAGCATGAATCGCTTTAAATGAACTGGATACCAAACGACTTGGATGGACACATCCACAAGGATTAAAAAAGAGAGACGCCTGATTGGATGCTTAAGCAGACCCGAGGGTGGATTTATATAGCAGTAACCAAACAGAGGATGATCTGACACAGGTAAGCCACCTTAATAACGTAATGTCACCTTTGTAAACAGCTATAACCACATTCATAACATGTAATAATGCATTCATAAGGCATTATAAACATGGCTATAAATATTTATAAAAATGCATTACACATTATAGCCATGCTTATTATGCATTATGACTTGTTAACATAATACATTATAAGTACTGATCACAACAAATTATAAGAGCTCATAAGTGGTATTTGTCCGCTCTAAGTAAAGTGAAGCGTACTGTACTAAAGCCTCCTCCAGTGTTAAGAGTGAGGCTTCAAGTTGAAGTATTTACTGAAGGATTTACGGAAACACTAAAACATACATAATAAAGCGCATTACAGGCTTCAAATGTCAGAGTTTAAACTAGAGCTGCCATCAGTGTTTTACCCAATGTGGGAAAGTCAATGTACACCACCGTTAGCTTGGTATTTGTCTTTGCAGTCTCCAAGCTGGGACTGACTTCTTTGGCACTGACAGTATAACGTTATCAACACTACTTATAATGCATTATATTAACAATTCATAATGTATAATAAACATGGCTGTAAAGTGTAATTCATTTTTATAAATGTTTATAACCATGTTTATAATGCCGTATGAATGCATTATAACATGTTATAGATGTGTTTATAGATGCTTACAAACGTGACATTCATAGAAAGTGTTACCGAAAATTGTTCATCTTGGCTATCTGTCTATGTTTGAGTGCAAACCGCTAACATTAGACTAAATGCAGATAAACACAAATAAGGTAAAACATAACAACATTGTTTTGTTTTCAGTGAAGTTATTCATATCGCCGCTGTCCGAACAAAACCTCGTATCTCCAAACGACAAAAACAGTATATGTGCAACATCATTTTCCTCTAAATAAGTAATAGAGGCGGCCTGACCACACATCGCCATCAGGTTACTTGTCAATCATTGTCGATATTTACATCTATTACATCACCTCATCACGCAGCACTAGTGCCGTCTGCACGGCTTAAGGCCTCAGCGTACTTCTTGTGGAGACGGCGTTCGCCTGGCTTCAGTGAACAATATGATGTAATTGCGGAGAAAACGAACAGTCGCAGACATCATGTACATGGCAGCTGGGCCAACTCCACAGACGAAGACGCTACGCAATAAAGCCTGTGATTGGTCGGTAAAAACTTTACAGGAGAAGGAAAAACCCTACTTTACTTTTAATGTAAATCAATGGAACCAGATTTTTGTCCAAGTCATTTTGGGCCGTTTCTTTTGTTCCATTCATCATGAAATTTTGACATAATGTGAAGGACAACATGCATTTTCAAATAACGTCAAAAACTGAAAAACGACAAAAATGAAGATACAAGGTTTTGTTCCGACAGCAGCGATAAGTTGGTCAGAAAAACACACGTTTGGTTGTACTCCAGCCATAGCATGCAGTTTTTCAGCTCCACCATCAGCGGCAAATATAATTTAATGAAATGTTGATCAGATAAACTGACACATAAAATCTCAAGGTGTTGTTCGTTTGTATATTTTCGAATGCTTTTCAGACAAATAAAAAATTACTGCCCATAAATTAGATAAATAGTTTTACATATTCTTTTCTAACATACATGAAACTTTTGCACAGTGCTGTATAAATAGTTGTATACAGTCAAATGATGTTTTCTTGATTTTCTAAATAAAATTGAGTTAACACGTCGTCTACAGAGAACACACTTAAATATGACATTTTATTTTGCAGTTTTAGTGCACAAGTTTAACATATTGGAAAAAAAAAACATGAAATACAAAACACAAACTTTGCCACAAGCCATGTTTTATTTTTCTAAATATGTTACATTAAGCAAATTGACAGTAATTGTGCATTAAAATGTGCAGAAGTGTGTCTCTGTAGAGGATGTGTTCACTTATTTATGCTCAGAAAATCAAAAGTGATTTAACCAGCAGCGAAAAACTCAACATTCGCACATGACAGTATACTTTCAACATCATTTTCCTCTAAATAAGTAATAGAGGCGGCCTGACCACACATCGCCATCAGGTTACTTGTCAATCATTGTCGATATTTACATCTATTACATCACCTCATCACGCAGTCCTAGTGCCGTCTGCACAGCTTAAGGCCTCAGCGTACTTCTTGTGGAGATGGCGTTCGCCTGGCTTCAGTGAACAATATGATGTAATTGCGGAGAAAACGAACAATCGCAGACGTCACGTACATGGCAGCTGGGCCAACTCCACAGACGAAGACGCTACGCGATAAAGTGTGTGATTGGTCGGTAAAAAAGAGGCGTGCCATTAAACAAACATGGACAACTTTGAGGAGCTTCGTGTTTGGCAGATACACTAATATTTCACTGTAAAAATGCGCATATCGCTGCTGTCGGAACAAAACCTCGTATCTCCATTTTTGTCGTTTTTCAGTTTTTGACATAATTTGAAAAAGCCTGTTATTCTTTACATTGTTTGTAAATTTCATGAAGAATGGACCAAAAGAAATGTCCCAAAATGACTTGGAAAAAAAGTCTGGTTCCATTGACTTACATTAAAAGTAAAGTAGGTTTTTTCCTTCTCCTGTAAAGTTACCATTTTGGAGATATGAGATTTTATTCCGACAGTAGCGATATGTTAAATAAACAATGAATATCTCCTAAATGTAGGATGCTAAGTCTGTTATTCGGTAGTTCTAACTAGCACTAAGCACCAAAACATACAGGTTATCTTATATTTAGGTTCACAAGAGGGCGAGGCTGAAGTTGGCGTCCTCTTCGGCAGCTTCTTGTTCGAATTTTCCCGTTCCACCTTAAACGGTGTCGGTATTCTGAACTCAAACATCGCCACAGTTAGAACTGTGATAGAATAGTTTTCCAGCAGTCATGAAACTTATAATAAAATGCCATAGCGTCACGTGGAGCATCTGCGGCAGACGATACGAAACGACAGAGAGTATGCGAGCTTCTAAGGCGCCTTCAGCTTCGCACAACCGTCGAGAATTTAGGCCTTAAGTTTCTAAAATGTTATTTCAAACTGACAAAGCAGCTATTCTGAGCAAACGAGGTGTTCCCAAACTTTTGACTGGGCCATAAAAATGAGTTGTTATTTCAGCTGGGACCTGGTTCAATGGCGGTTTGTGGTTTGGGAGGTTTTGGGAGGGTTTTGGGCAGCTTCAGCGACTCAGCACTTCCAAAAGAAACAAGGTGTGTTTTTCTCTCCCTCACAGGGTCTCCGTATCGCATCCGAAGCTTCAGGCTGGCTCTTGCCGGACGCGGCAGGAGGACGTTTTCTTATTTATACTCGGACAAAGGAAGTGAAGGAGATGGACGTTGGTCATTTGTGTAACTCCAGCGCCGGAGAGGTACTACCACGGACAGCGTGGGTGTCTACTTTGTTGCATGAGGTGCTGCAGAGGCACCGTAGCCCACCTTCTCCACAGTCACCACTGCTGAAACGTTCAACTTCAACAGATCTCATTCATGGTTGAAAGTCTTGAAAGAAACATTGCGATTTTTTTTTTTTCTTCTTTTTTTTCTTCTTTTTTTTCTTTCCGTTCTCTCTTTCGCCGTGCCTCTTCACCTTGAGTTAAGCCAAAGTAGACTGCAGATGTGTTTTATTTTTTCTTCTAACCATTTCTTTTTTTCTTATTTTTTCATTCCATCTCTTTATTTAAGTCTGGAGTCCGTCCACTGCACAGAAAAAGAACTGCTCTGTGGAAACTTACTGAATATTCTCTTTGTTATTAATCTCTTTTTGATGGAAAAATATATATATATATATTTTGTGGCATGACAGCTTTATGATGTTTTCCAGCAGCTGTTGGTTCTGTAGCGATATCTACCATCGTCCATTACAGGAGGGAACTAAAGATATGGGGTAAAAAAAAAGAAATGACCTCTATAGTGCTGGAGGTTTAGCTGTCAAATCAGTTTTCTATTTCGTTCGTTCTTCAATCCGCCTTGCTTATTGTGCGCAAGGCAAAAACAATTTCTCAGGGTGGGGCTTTTTGACTTTGTGAAATAATAAATAAAGAAAGAAAAAAAACCCTGTGCTAGCTACAGGTGGGAGTTTCACTAGTCGTTTCGGGTTAACTAGTTATGATTTAGTTTCATGAGAACAAATCTGTCTTAAACGATGGAGCCATACGGCCCGGTTTATTGCTGCATTTAGCGAACAAGAATCTGAGAACAGTTGCTTTGAAGGCCAGTGATTGGTTGAGGTTGACATTTCAAGCTCAGTTCACTGGATGACGTTACCGGAAATACACACACGGAAACTTTTCCTGCTAACAGTAGCTGTTTTTCAGTCTCTGTACTTCCTAACTGTACTGGCAGAAAATCAGATTTACACTGTTTACACTGTTTTAGGCTTGCTTTGTTATCTGTAACCCTGCGTTCACACCAGCAGCGACTTTTCGCCTCTTGTCGCCTAAATCGCTGGTCGCTCATCGCCGTTGGTTGCCATGGTTTCACTGACGCCAAGCACAAATCAGATGCATTCTTGCTAAAATTAAATATCCTGGTGAGAAATCAGTTTTGTGCTTATTTTATTTAATCCCTTCTGTGCAGTCAGTTTGCGAGGAAAACAGTATTTGGTCTTTGCGATTAGCGTCTATCTGCAGCGAACAAATAGGAACAGTTATCTAGGAACCAAAAACAGAGTATACTGTTTCACAGTGGGGGAGATAAAGTGCGTACAATGCTGCTGAGTGCTCAGTTCCTATTGGCAGTCGCCACGGTGCTTCGCTCCTTAAAGTTCAAATCCACCAGAGCCGGTTTATGAGGAGCCTGGCCTCTTCCTACTTCCCCTGTTATATAAAAAACAGGACTGCAGAACAGCAGAGGGCGCCCACGAGTGAGTCCTCAATGAATGGGAGTAAATTGAGCTCAACGAAAAAACAAAAAAACGAAAAGCTAAAATAGTTTCTAATCACTGAACCAGAACTTTCCTTCAATTTCAGAAAGTAGAAGGATGTATTTCACTAAAAAGGCAAAGGAAACTCACCTGTATGTTTCCTTTTTGTACAGCAAGCAAGTTTTGGGCAGCAGGACGCTAACATTACTGCTACTGAGTGCTGATCGGTTGGCGAGCGGAGCAGCTCATTGGCTGTTTGCACTCACAGACGTCATGAACGCACATGAGGCGCCGTTTTAAACTCCTATAACTCAAGTTTAAAAGCTCGTTAAAATATAACAGCAGTGTTAAAATGTTTTATGCTGTTCTGTGTTCAGGAAATGATTGTATTCATTTACATTAAAAATGTTTAAGCATTTATAAACTGTGATTTTGCTCAAATGCTGATATATTGATTCCTTCATTCTGGACTTGCTTGGGAGCGCCCTCTAATGTTTGAGAAACCTAGAAGAGATTACAGAGGGATAATTCTCCTCTCTACAAGTTCTCTCGCTCAATGCTCAATTCCTGTTGGTAGTCGGCATATCGCTTTGCTCCTTATTTGCATAAAGTTAAACTCCACTCAACTTTGTTGTGTCGCTGACTTCGTGCTGCCTTCTGTCGCCGAAAATCGACAGCTCTCTTTGAAAATAAATTACCGCGCACCGCTGACGATGTGAACGCATGGTAAAAATGGACACAAGTAGCTCACATAGCTTAAACAAGTAGTTCTGTCCAGACTTTTGTCCATTTTTATAGATAACAATGTGTCACAGAGTTAAAACCCCATAAGCAAGTCTATTTGACATTGCTTTAACTTCCAGTTAACACAGTATACATTGTGTATTATTAAAAAGGATGTGTAATACTAAAATTGAGTATTTCAGTGAACATCCAGCTAAGTTGGAATGAAAACAAGAGAGAAATGCAATAAAATATGGCTTAAAAACAGCAGGCAGACAGATGAGCTTTATAGCGTAGTGATGTGTGCTAGGTCAGCTTTCGCTTGGTGGTTAGCTTTCAATCTTTACTTTTCTCTGACTCACAGAAAGAGAACATAGGTTTATTAAAGCTGTGTGGGTGGAATAAGCCACATCAGCCTTAAGACTGGTGAGGGTAATACCTATGCAGTCTTTATCCAAGATCAGGACCACCCAGTTTACACCAAAAGGGTACAATTTTGGCTAAATATATTGGCCATTTATTGGACAAGGGAAATTCTTAGAGCTTAGAGCTTAGTCTGGACACGGATATTGTTTGCCCACAAAAGCAAGACTGACCTTATTAGGAAGAAAACTGTGGCTTTAACAACTTGATATGGTTTTGAGACAAGCTTGTAATGATTTAGGTTTGCTAATTGCTGGCATTTGAGCCTATTTTAGCCTCGTAGCTCCAGTGTAAAACTAAAGAGGCAAACTTCAGACACCACACACGTCTTGGCTGATGCACCACATGCAGAAAACGTGTAAATTTGGTTTTTCACCACTCATTTCAATGCTTGAGCGGAAGTGCCGAGATTGAGAAACCTCCTGCGTGCTAAATGCTTTCTAAATCTGACCACTGACCCACTTTTTACGACGTAACAGACTTTGAAGTTAGCAGAGAAGGACGGAAGTGTTTTTTCACGCCTCTCACACACCGTGCATGGCTTGTTTCGTAGCGTTACTAGAACCGTGTCGTCACGAACAGCGTCAGCTTGAGCTTGTTGAACTCCAGGCCACTTCTGCTGTTCTTCTCTGCCTAGATTTTTAATCTGCTCCTTTATGGTCGCCGTTTTTCGCTTTCATTTGTGTTTATCGACAGCTTGCCTACTTTTTTAATACTTGTGTCTTTTGTCGCTGTTTCACTTTTTGTTTTTGTTTTTATTATTGTTATTTTTTTTTTATTTTATTTTAAAGATTATGTTGAGTAACTTATTTTGCTTGTACAAAAAAAATGTTGATATTTATTACCATTGTACATATGTCCTTATTTTTTATATATGTATATATCTACATAAAATAAAGTAGAGTTGACTTCACAGTCTGGAGTGTGGTCCAGTTGTCTATACTGAAAGTAAATGTATTTGTGTATATTCTAGTGGAATATACTGACAGCCTGTCAAACTTATCCATATGCCTGTACCTTCCATCTTTATTTGTATATTGCTTTGTCCTTTTGGCTCTTTGCCCACCACAAGCATTGCACTTTGGTCTCCCATGACAAAAAGTTTGGGCACCCGGTTTTGAAAGTGGTTTAGATGTTACTCTGACCTCCAAACGTTTTGGATATCTGATTTACAGTACAGGAAAAGGTCCAAAAGCTTGTAAGACAGGAGTGGCCAAAGTCAAATGTGACCCACAGACAGATTTAATTGGCCCATGGCTTCTATTTAGGAGTGCGTTATAAGTGACCCACCAGCCAGTATGCTGCAGTTATTCTTTTTACCTGATGGTGGCAGCATCACTGTAAAATTACAGTGTAATGCGCTGCACTGTGGTAAAGAATTTAGCTAAAGTTTACGAGACTTTCTTCTCCAACTAGACCTGCAGCTTCATTTACCAAACAACATTTATTCCAGACTGCAGCCATAAAGCACAAACCTAACGCTCGATTTTGGCGAGATGGAAATTTAAATACGTTTTCATCAAGAGCCACAGCAAATGTGTGAGCCTCATATGTCAAAACACTGTAATGAATTTAACACCAATAGGCATCATGGACATTACAATAAATATTCAGGCGAGAAACCACACTACACAAGTTTTACCCCTATTTTAGCCCCGATTCTCAGTCTGGCTGAGTCTGTGCTGGTCAGCTCTAGTCTGCAGATTTTTGGGTCAATCAGAGTCGACAGTTGGAGAAAGAATCAAGTAATATGTGAGGGGCTCAGACAGATTTTTGGCCTCCTGAACGAGTTTCAGTCCAGACTCTGAGCATAATCTAGTGAAACAGATGATGACTCATCTGAATGGGCTCCTGCAACAGCCAATGAAAACTGAGAGCGCAAAAGAAAAAAATACAGCAAGTAAACAAAGAAAAACGGTGAAGTCACTCACGTGGGGCGAAGCTTTTTTAATGAGCTGAGAGTTTAAGGCAAGAGCACAATCGAGTTTATGTACATTTAAAATTCTAAAAAATACCAAACTGACCACATCTACAAACCCATGAGTGTCACTTAAACACGTTTACCTGCTGCTTCTTTACTGTGTCAGCAAAAACAGCGTGATTGTGCCATGTAAACAAAGTCCTTATAGGAAAGTTAAGCATTACAAGCATCCCTGTTCACTTCAACCAGTGGCCAGTCTCCTCATTTATAATGTCTCTGATATAAATGGTGACTGTTTGTGCCGGTTGTATGTGTCTCCATGCAAATTACCATTCAGGAAGGGATACTGTTGCCAATATTACAAGCAATGTTGCCCATTTTATTGCATAGACCTTTATACTTACACTATATTGCCAAAAGTATTCGCTCGTCTGCTTCACACACATATGAACTTGAGTGACATCCCATTCTTAATCCATAGGGTTTAATATGATGTCGGCCCACCCTTTGCAGCTATAACAGCTTCAACTCTTCTGGGAAGGCTTTCCACAAGGTTTAGCAGTGTGTTTATGGGACTTTTTGACCGTTCTTCCAGAAGCGCATTTGTG